CCAGCCCCACCCCCGGGTACCCCACATGGTGGGTGCCCTCCGCCTGCCCGAACTCGCTCCCCGGGGCCACCACCATCCCCGTCTCCTCCAGTAGCTCCTGGCAGAAGAAGACATCGGGCTCCAGGCCCAGTTCCTGGGGGAGAAGAGACGGGATGGTCACCTGTGCCGTGGGGCACCGTGTCCCCAGGGTGTCCCCAGGTCACACACGGTGTCCCATCCTCCAACTGTGTCCAACGTCTGCGGAAAGCCCTATGTCCCCAAGATGCCCCACGTCTCCAAGATGCCCCATACTCCCCTGGTGTCCCATGTCCCCTGGTGTCCCGTGTCCCATGTCCCCAGGACATCTCTTGTCCCCGGGACTCCCCATATCCCAGGGTGACCCACACATCCCTGGGACGGCTCCTGTCCCCAGCATGCCCCATGTCTCCAACATGCCCCACACTCCCAAGGTGTCCCACGTCCCTGAGATGGCTCCTATCCCCAGCACACCCCATGTTCTGGCTTGTCCCATGTCCCCAAGATGCCCCCACGTCCCCAGGACGCCCCATACCACAGGGCTCCCTAGATACCCCTGCTGCCCCACATCCCTGAGATGGCTCCTGTCCCCGTTGGTGGCCATAGGGACGTGTAGGACTTTGGGATGATGGGTGGCCCTGGGGACCCATGGGTGTCTGTGGGTCCCGTGGGTGGCCGTGGGGACCCGTGGGGCTCTCACCTGGGCCAGCTCCTCCTCGATGGCAGTGGCCCGCTGGAGCAGGAGCTGCAGTGGGGACGGAGACGCGGAGGATGCCCCATGTCCCCAGGATGCCCCACGCTCCCACGGCACCCCGTCTCCCACAGTGTCCCATCTCCCGTGGTGTCCCATGTCCCCAAGAACCCCCATACCACAGGGATCTCTAGCCACCCCTGCTGCCCCACATATCTGGGATGTCTCCCATCCCCGGGATGTCCCACGTCCCCAAGGTGCCCCACACTCCCAAGGTGTCCCACACCCAAGGATGTCTCCTGTCCCCAGGATGTCCCATGTGCTCAAGGTGCCCCACACTCCCAAGGTGCCCCATGTCCCAGGATGGCTCCTGTCCCCAGGATGCCCCATGTCCCCAGGGTGCCCCACACTCCCAAGATGTCTCATGTCCCTAGGATGGCTCCTGTCCCCAGGATGTCCCATGTCCCCAAGATGCCCCACACTTCCAAGGTGCCCCATGTCCCTGGGATGTCTCCTGTCCCCAGGATGCCCCATGTCCCCAGGGTGCCCCACACTCCCAAGATGTCTCATGTCCCTAGGATGGCTCCTGTCCCCAGGATGTCCCATGTCCCCAAGATGCCCCACACTTCCAAGGTGCCCCATGTCCCTGGGATGTCTCCTGTCCCCAGGATGCCCCATGTCCCCAGGGTGCCCCACACTCCCAAGATGTCTCATGTCCCTAGGATGGCTCCTGTCCCCAGGATGTCCCATGTCCCCAAGATGCCCCACACTTCCAAGGTGCCCCATGTCCCTGGGATGTCTCCTGTCCCCAGGATGCCCCATGTCCCCAGGGTGCCCCACACTCCCAAGATGTCTCATGTCCCTAGGATGGCTCCTGTCCCCAGGATGTCCCATGTCCCCAAGATGCCCCACACTTCCAAGGTGCCCCATGTCCCTGGGATGTCTCCTGTCCCCAGGATGCCCCATGTCCCCAGGGTGCCCCACACTCCCAAGATGTCTCATGTCCCTAGGATGGCTCCTGTCCCCAGGATGTCCCATGTCCCCAAGATGCCCCACACTTCCAAGGTGCCCCATGTCCCTGGGATGTCTCCTGTCCCCAGGATGCCCCATGTCCCCAGGGTGCCCCACACTCCCAAGATGTCTCATGTCCCTAGGATGGCTCCTGTCCCCAGGATGTCCCATGTCCCCAAGATGCCCCACACTTCCAAGGTGCCCCATGTCCCTGGGATGTCTCCTGTCCCCAGGATGCCCCATGTCCCCAGGGTGCCCCACACTCCCAAGATGTCTCATGTCCCTAGGATGGCTCCTGTCCCCAGGATGTCCCATGTCCCCAAGATGCCCCACACTTCCAAGGTGCCCCATGTCCCTGGGATGTCTCCTGTCCCCAGGATGCCCCATGTCCCCAGGGTGCCCCACACTCCCAAGATGTCTCATGTCCCTAGGATGGCTCCTGTCCCCAGGATGTCCCATGTCCCCAAGATGCCCCACACTTCCAAGGTGCCCCATGTCCCTGGGATGTCTCCTGTCCCCAGGATGCCCCATGTCCCCAGGGTGCCCCACACTCCCAAGATGTCTCATGTCCCTAGGATGGCTCCTGTCCCCAGGATGTCCCATGTCCCCAAGATGCCCCACACTTCCAAGGTGCCCCATGTCCCTGGGATGTCTCCTGTCCCCAGGGCACGCGCAGATGGCAGCCACCTACGGGAAACCCACCACCGTCCCCACGGTCACGACCGCCCCCCTCCCCGCCGACCACCACCCCCCAAAACCCCACAGCACCCCCACGGTCAGGATAGAGCCCTTCCCCTCTACCCGTCCCCGGGGTGCTGGATGGGGTCACGGATCCAGCTGTGCCCCACAGCTGCTTTGCTGGTTGACTGGAGGGATGCTCAAGAGCCCCACGGCTGGGGGGGGGGGGGGGGGTTGGGGGGTGTCATGTCCCCCCAAAAATGCAGGTAAGCGTGGGGGGCCCCATTACCTGTCGGAGGAAAGCGAGAGGTTGGTGGCCGGAGGCAACCGCGTCCCCCGAATAGCAGTGGATGACCTCGGTGAAGGGTTTCTCCTTGCCCTTGGGGACACGAAGCATCACCCTGCTGCCCCCAGTAGGACCCATCTGGCCCCGTGGCAGCCAGCTGTGGGGAGGGGACCCACCATTACCCACCTCCTCAAAGGCCGCGTAGGAGGGTTCCTTGGGCAGTGGGGGCTCCATGGCTGTCTCCAGCATCACCTGCCCCAAGATGGGGGGATACACCGACAACCCCCACGTGTAGAAACACTTGAGGACACTCATGTCGATGTTTACCAGCTCGAAGAAACCTGCTCGGAAACCACCCCTGGGGGAGCGGTGGGGTGCAAAGGGCTGGAAAAGGGGATTTGGGGTTTTTTTGGGGGGAGGCAGGAGGTGGTGGGAGTCATTCCTACCCTCCGACTCCCTTGGAGAGGGAATAGAAGGAGATGAGTTGGACGGTGGAGGTGAACGGGTCACCCATCTCCCACAGCACCCGCTTGAAGGAGAGGAAGGGGCAGGTGGAGGTGGCCACGTTGTCCTGGAGGACCTGCAGCAGCACCCGGGGCTCAGTGGGACTCGAGGTG